TATTTACACGTTTTTTTTTCTTTTTTTTTTTTTTAAGAATTTAGTATTATTTATACACAAAGTATGAAACGTGTCTGCCGTTATGAGAGAATCTGTACATACACAGACACACAAAATGAATCTCGGAACTCCGATTTCATACAGTAAAATCGCGTGCTATATAGTGTGCCCCGACACTATGTAGTCTTCAGTTTTACTATAATAATAGTAAATTCGAGATTTGCTTATGCTTATTACATCAAGGAAAAAAAGAAGCAACGATTTTCGTTAATCGGACAAACATAACGAATTGCACATCTCTACTAGGCGCTATCTCATAATAAAAAAAAAAAAAAAAAATAATAATCGAATCACGTCGAGAACAAACGAATTCGGACGATCATTAAGCATCGTTCTCTTAATCTCCGTGTTCTTTGGTATGATACACGTCACAGGTGATCACGACAAGTCGACAAAGAAAAACCTTCGATTCGTATTAACAAATTCAACGATCTCGTTTACGAAAAGGCACACGAATGAAATGAAATAACTTGACGCTTAAAAGGAGTAACTTGCAAATTTCCCGAACCTAAAACGCTACTGTACAAACGTTGCTTACTTACTTAGGTCTATCAAATAATAAATTGGAAACGTCATCAAGTCCTTACGTGTATAAAAAGAGAAAGAAAAGAACCTCGATAGTGTTTGTACAAGGAGATCAATCGAAAACAATTACAACGCAATTATGACGGAAAAAAAAAATAGTAAAAACCGATTTACTGGACGCGCGTGTATATATATATACACGCATGTATGTATTATAACCACAAATACACACTAGACGCAAAAATGTACGTGTACATTATAGCGCTTACGCTAGAGATCAGAAATGTACAGGATGCGTATTGCAAAGAGTGAGACTGAGCGACGGATGTGATTCTAATCGATCAAGTGTAACACTTTGGCTAAATTGTCGGGGATACCTCGTTCGTTGAAGAGACAAAGATTTACATAAAACGCGTTCATGTGTACGTATAAAGAAGAAAATACGCGATACTCGTCCGTTAGGCGAAGAAGTAAAGCAAGGAAATGAAAGGAGGAACGGGAAAGGAACAGCTCGATACGCGTTTTTCCAACGCGAACGCAGAACGCTTTGGAAAAAGCACGGGGAAGAGCGTTCTTCGGTATTAGACTAGAGCCTGGTTAAGTCTTCGACACTCGGTGTTCGGTTGTGAGGTACGATCAAAGAAACGAACGTTGATCATGTACGTTCGTTGAATCAGTTGCGGAAATTGTTTCCCCAACCGTGTTGCGACATGTATGTATAATCGGTAAATGCGGGATGAACGAAGCGTTGATAGTGTGACAAGTATGAGAAAACGTTCTCGTCCTGAGGAACAAAGCATACTAATCGAACCGACGATTAATAAACTTGCATGTGTTTGCTTTGTAACATTATCGATGATCGAAAAGTGTGAACGTTTTTTTGTCTTTGACACGATGCGACTCGAGGATGGCAAGAAGGAAAGGAGAATCGTCGTGTGATCAGAAAGGAAGGGGGAAAAAAAAAAAGAAAAACAAGAATATTACAAGTTCTTTACACGACTCGACAGAACAAACAAACGTAATGAAAGACAGGAGAGGAGAAGGAAGTGAGAGAAAGAAAAATGAAAGGGAAAAGAATTAAAAGAGGATTTTATACAAAGTATAAAATCTGCGTGGCGTTCGGCGACGTTTCGCAGGCACCGAGGAAACACGTTCACCGCTCGTACGATTAACATTGGGACGCAAATAGTGTGCAGTACGGTCGAGAAAAAGCCATCACCGCACGTGCCAAAGACCAAGATTCAACGTACTCAGTTCCGGCAACTTCATAATCCTCTCTAGACCGTTGGTACTTATCCTGGTGCATCCGTAAAGATCGATGCATTTCAAGTGTTTCATACTCTCGGCAATGGTGTAGAGTCCCTTGTCCGTCAGCCTGCTGCACTGGCCGATGTTCAGCGTCTCGAGGTCGTGCAAGGTCTTGGCGATCTTGCAGATACCCTCGTCGCTGATCTGACAGGCGGAGAGCGAGAGTAATTTCAAATTAAACAATCCCTGGGATATGTGGACGAGCGCCTGATCGCCGATCTTGTCGCAGAACGACACGTCCAACGATGAAATCCTGCTGCCACCTTCCGCGAGATATGCCATACCGATGTCCGAGATATTGTCGCATGATCGTAGATTCAGCTCGCGTAGGCTGGGCATTTTCGCCAAGTGTTTCAGCCCGGAGTCGGTGATGCATACGCAAAACGACAGGTTGATGGACTTCAAGGTAGTCAAACCGATCGACACGTGCCTGAGTGCTTCGTCGCTCAGCCGCTGACAGTCCTGAAGGCTGAGATGCTCCAACGCGAGATTACCACCGGCTGCCTCGCGGTTCACGCCGGCCAAATGAGCGATGCCCAGGTCGGACACTTGCCAGCAGCTTCGCAAGTCCAGTCTTTTCAACTTCTTCAAATTCCACGCTATACACAGGAGTCCACCGTTCGTTATGTTGCAGCAACCGCCGAGCTCCAAGTGCTCGAGATTCTTCAGATACTGCACTATCCTGCCGAGGGAGATGTCCGACACTTGTTTGCACAGCGAGAGATTCAGTTCGGTGAGCGTGTTGTACTCCTGGCAGAAAGCGTTGATCAAGCCCGCGTCGGTAATGTTGTAGCAGCCGGAGAGATTCAAGGCCTCCAAGTTTGGCACGCCTTTGAGAACGTCGCCGAGACCGCGTCGCAGCGACAATACCTGGATCCGTTTTACTCCTCTTCTAACTAGACTAGCGAATAACGCCGGTGCCTGTTTCCTCAGGTGTAACTTGGCCTCGACACCTCGCCAGACGGACCGGTAATACGCCGCGTCTCTCCACGCGGTGCATACTTGGGCGGCCCGTCCCTTATCCCTGACTTCGAGGTAGCTAAAGATCAGCGCCAATATCTCCGGGTACAGACAGGAGATGTGCGTGCTTGGCGTGACGGTACCGCGGGCAGTTACTTGCGGTTGTTGCCTCGACGAGAGACCTTGCGCGTATGCCGGTAGGCCAGTCGCACCACCGCTGGTATAATGCGGCGCGTTGCTCGAGTTGTAAAGAATCTCCTGGCTCTGCGACGTCGGTATCGCGGCCAGGTGCGGCTGGTGTAACTGATAATAATGTCCCGAACGGTGAAGCAACGTAACGCGGCTTGGCGTTAATGCCGGAAGTTCCGTCATCAACAGCTGACTTTCCTCCATCTTGCCCACTGATATATACACACGCGCGTACACATACACGCGTTTTTCAAAAATCTCGCTCCTTCTCTTTGTTCCCTTTTACTCACTGTCCCTTCCTTCTCTTTCCTTTCCCTACCCTTCCCTTCCCTACCCTTCCCTTCCCCTGTACATCCCACCGTGTCTTTATGGTATCATCTCTTCGCACCTCTGTCCCATGCTCTTCCTTTCTTTTATACACCGTTTACTCTCCTCCCTCGTTGCATCCAACGATCTTGCACGACGTACGATACATATTTCCAAGTATATCACGATATCTCCTCTCTCGACTCTTTCGTCCAAGAAGTTAATTCAAGATCAACGATGCTCAACCTCGAGAACCAGAGAGTTTGTTGCTCCTCCTCCGCTCCGATCGCACCGATCGTTCACCGATTTATCACCGGTTGGTAAACGGTAAACTCATTCCGAACGAACGAGACAAAAGAGAGAAAGTTCGTCGATCGTTTTGCTCTGCGATCTTTTTTTTCTTTTTTCAGTCCCACGCGGATCGCTCCGGCACTCTTCGCGAGAAACACTGCATATCACGCATGCAACGCACTATCGTATTTTTCGATTCCTATTTCCCTTCTTCCACGCGTTTCTCGCTTTCTTCCCTCTTTCTTCGTTCACAGTGTTCCTCTCCCTCGCTCCGTTCCCTCGCTCCTTCCACAAGCGCCCTCCTTTAACCTCCCTCACACCGTTCTTCTCTTCTTCTTCTCTTTCTATATATGTACAAATACGTGTATATATTCATCTACTATAGAGTGCATACACACACGCGCGCACGCGCGCGCGCGTGTGCGTCGTGTGCTTGAGTGCGCGTTTGTATAACGTTATTACGTACTTGTATCTGTAAGCGCGCCCGCAAGCGCGCGTACCCATGTACGTGTGCATACGCGTACGTACTGCGTGTCGCGCGTATGATGTGTAGTAAAATTTTTCTTTTCTCTCTCTCTCTCTCTCTCTCTCTCTTTCTCTCTTTCTTTCTCTGATGTTATCACCACGCCGCTTCCTCCCGCTGTCCCGATCTCTTTTCCTCGTTTAGCTTGAGGTGCCTTCTCGGCCCTGCTCTTTACCACATGATCACTTCTTCTCAGACGCGATACGAATATCCAGCGATACCCACACTCACACCGCCGTTACGTTCTCTCGGGATAAAAACAAATTGCAAACAAATCGTGTCAAGCATGAAATTGATCCTTTTCTAGACGTTGGTGATGCGAGACTGTACTCGTGTTCACTACCTCGACAGTTAAACGTGTCACAAAATCACTCACGTAACTGGCTTGAAAACGACACATTGCCAAAACACAAACCGGTGCGCTGCCAGTCGCGAACTGTTGTTCCAGTTACCTAAAGTTAGATGTCGTGTCGTCGCTCTGTTACAGAAGGAGAATAAACTTCGTTCTAGCGACGCTCCGATTGGCCAGCAGCGGTTGAGCCTGTGTCACGTGACTACGCTGGCGAATATCGATTCGGGTTGCGCTGCGGCGGCATTTTTAAGTTTTCGTTAGGGGGTGGGGGTACAACACCGAACCACGTTGCTAGATCGCTATTCCTCGAATTTTCCCACATACCACCACTCTTATTTTATATCAATCACTTTGATCGATTTTCGCTTTCCTTATTTTCTGTTGCTCTTTTATTTTTTTCTTCTGTAGCTATTTATTACGATGGCACGTTGATTTAGAAAAGTAAAATGAGAATCGTCCCTTGCGTTTTTTTTTTTTTTTTTTTTTGTATTATATCGCAATCTTCTGATAACTGTCAAAAATTTTTATAAACAAATCAAACAGTTACAGTCTTACTTTCTCATAATTTGTCTTAATTAGTGTTGCATAACATTACAAAATATAATTACATACATACGAAAAGATAAAATTAAAATTCTTGTTGAATTTTTTATTAATTTCGTCGTTTCATTAAACATTTTTATTAATATTTTGTTCGAGAAAGAGAATAATTATATAAAAATTGCTCGATAAATAAAATGATATATATAAGAATTATGTATAAACTTAGAATCATCAATTCATAAACTTAATTATATGTAAAATGTTTTATATATTTCAATTTTTTATTTAACATTTGCTACTTTTAGATTGATAAAATTATATGTGTGTATATATATATATAACTTGAATTATTTTATATATATAAGATTAATTAAATTAAAGACAAAATTAAAGACAAAAATTAAAAGAGACTCTTACAGATGAACTATATTATATTACAAGATTTGAATATTTCTAAACATATTGATTTTGCATGTATATCCGAATATTCTACTTTACGTATAAATCAAAATCGAAAATTTTATCAGTATCTGTGTAGCTCCAACACAATATATCTGAATTATCTATTGCAGTTTGGTATATGCTCGTGTATATACATATACATATATGCACGAACGCATAATATATATAAAATAACTATTCAATAAATTAAAAATTAATCAATTTAATAAATATTTCACACAATTAAAGCTATATAATTGTTTTTCTATTCGTTGTAAAATGAGAAATTGACTAAAATAGACTTAAAATGAGAGTCACACGAATTTTGAAGTCTATCGACAAAATATATACAAACAACTATTATTACATATACATAAACTATACCATAACAGTACGTTATATAACAATACACATAGAAATTTTTCTTTTGTTCTACAAAGTTACACACAAATTTTTTACAAATTTTCCATTTAAAGATGTGAGGTTACACAATTTATATACAAAACTGGAATAAATATAATAATTTTATTTTAGGAATTTCTAAAATATAATAATTAATGTATTAATATTAATCGAAGTAAGGATAAAAATTAAATTTCACATGATTATTTTTGATCTATCAAGATCCAAATAATTAAGTAATTTAGATTTTTATAGACCTTCTAATATCAAAGTTTAAAGTTACTTTTTATAAATAAATTGATGTATATAACAAATATAAGTAAATTCATTTTTGTTAATTTTTATATCTTAACAATAATAATTAATTCATAACAATTTCTGTAAATAGATTTTTATTACTTTTTGAAATTCTGTTTGAACATATTAAATTTATGTTTACAATTGAGTTGTTCAAAAAATATCATTCAAACATCAAAAAATATATAGTATTTAATAATTTAATTGTCATAAAATCTAAACACAATATAACATATTATTGTTCAGAATTAATGAGAAAGCAAGAGATGATCTAAAGAAAATAAGAGATATGTTCACATAAAGCACACATGTACACATAAGTTCTATTTATTTATATTTTAAAGTATAATTCATATTACAATGTTATAACTGTATAACAGTAAACAATATCGAATATGCTTGATCGGAATATTTGTAATATGCCACTAAAACTGGCAAGTAGAATATTTACATAATATAGGATGCCGCTTCATTCCTTCATTTAAAAGATATGTTACTTTGACCAAAATTGGTAATATCAATTATGATAATTCATATGATGTTGTTCATAACGGTATTACAGCGGCAGCTGGATAAGTATCCTAACTATTATCACAGATGACAAAATATGTATATTGTATTATTATAGCACATGTAACATGTCAATCATATTTATTACAAAAGTTGGCAAATTATTACATACTCATAAATTCGTCTCTTTTACAATTATAAAATGTTTAATTTCGTAGTTACTACATATTTAAAAAATTCTACGAATTTATTTTTATTTAAATTACTATGACAATGAAATCAGCGCTTATAATAATTCCATCAGCAATCAAAAAAATTGCAAAATTGAAATTTCAGTTCATTTTATGTAACAAATTAATTATTTAAATCAGGTTCATAAAAATAAAATATCCGTAACTGCTTAAAGTATTATATTAACATTAAAACTTTGCAAGATACACTTTACAAAATTTCACTTTACAATGTGTATTCATATTAAAAAAGAATAAACAGTTTGAATTTCTTACAATGTTGTTATCTTATTTTTATGTTTAAAATAATGAATAACCTGTATTTGTATTTCAATTGAATTTATTATACTTAAACTGACACAGTATAATTTTTTCTATGTCAATCAAACAGGCTTGCCTCTGTTATACCGTAAATATATTACTGTTTATTTTAATTTGATTTGTAAAGTCCATTCTTAAGTGTCATCAAGCTACAGGAACTTTGCACAATAAATGTGCACAACTGTTTGAACCTGTTGTTGAAGATAGATCGTCTATTTATTAAATATTATGTATCCCCTATATTGAATTCACATTATGGTAACTTATAAAGAAAAATTTATCCATAAGCATCCAAATCTCATGTATATAGTGTTTTTTATTTTATTCAGTAAATTTAGATTGAGCTTTGTACAATATATTTCTTTATCTTCTACTTTATACCACTTTTTTTATAAATAATATTTCGCAATGAAAAGAATGGATAAGAAGCAGCTATATATATATATATATATATATATATATATATATATATATATATATAATTTCACTTGTTTCTTTTGTTGTGCTGATTTTTTGTAAATTGTAAATTGTACAATATAAATAGGCCTTTATGTTTTCAATGCCACATTCAAAATATGTAGCTTATTGAAAAGTGTGTTACTTACAAAGTTACTTTTGCTAAATAAACACTACACACTCATAACATTTGCATCCTATGTATATTGAACATTACTAGCATCAAAGTATATTTCTATGAGAATACAATCTTCGATGTTGTAATTTAGATACAAAACTTAATAGCTTTAAAAAATGTTGGTATTACATTATATGATCATTCTGTTGCTATTGCATGCTCTCTGTTTTAGTTTTTCTTCATTTTTGTTACTTTAAATGATATTAACAACAGATTGCATGCTTGTACAATGATGTTAACAACATTTTTTTTTATGCTGTTTTGTGCTTTTTCTTAAATTGACTGTTTCACTGGTTTGTATAGCTTGTCGTTCCTTCCTTTCTTTTTTGGTTCTTAATACTTGCCGTGTTATAGCCATAAACATCTAAATGCAACAAATTAATACAGATTAAAGTTATATCATTACCGAATTTAAGATATACATTTAATACTTAAAATTTTTAACAGATTATATCTAAGTAATCACTAACTCTCTCTTTTCTACTTCCAAAACTAATATAACAATATACAATTATTGTCCACAAATTACATTTAACAATAATCTTATCAATAATCAATGAATGTAGTCTATAAGTACATATACTTGTATACATAAATGTAACAATATATTGTTATTTAGTTAAACAAAAGTTAAATAATATGTCTAATTGTTTATGATTTACATAAATATATTTTTTATAATTCAAAAACAAAATAATATTATAAAATTAATAAATTGAATAGTTCTTACATTACAATTTAAAAAATATATTTTCATAAACAAATAATTTGATAAAATATATAGTGTAATAATAAGTACAAATACTATTTACATTTGTTAGATAGAAAAAATATAATATTATATAAAACTCAAAAGAAAAATTACTTTTATAAAACTAATTCAAAATAAACAAAAGTTTGCTGAGTAATATATGCAATTTCCAAAAATATTAAAACATATTTATGTTCTGATTTAAAAACACAATGATTAATTTAAAAAATAAAAGTTATGCAACAGATATATACATACATGAATCTAACATTATATGCAACATATTACAAATTATTCTTTATAAAAATATACATATTATATATATTACTTACTTCTTGCACATTAATATTATCTTTAGCGGAAGTTTCAAATAACTGAATTCCCATTTGATTAGCAAATCTTTGTGCATCTTCTGTTAATACAACCTTTTCATTAGGTGCATCATTCTTATTTCCTACAAGTACCCTGTTGACCACATCACAATTTTGTTCGATTTCATGCAACCATCTTTTAACATTAGCAAAAGAGTCACCACTGGTCACATCATACACAACTATAACACCATGTGTTCCCCTGTAGTAAGTTGAAGTTATTGTCCGAAAACGTTCTTGTCCAGCTGTATCCCAAATTTGGAGCTTTACTCTCTCACCATCTACATCCACAGTTTGAATTTTAAAATCCACTCCTATTGTCGTTATGTAACTGCCATTAAAAGTATTATCAGCAAATCGTAACAGCAGAGAACTTTTCCCTACTCCTTAAACAAAAAATGGAAGAAAAATATTGAATAAAAATTAAAAAATATGACTCATATAAATCTAAATATATTTATATAATAAAATATATGAAGTTAATAGAGAACAAATAAAAACTAACTACTTAAAAAAAGAAATGTGATGAGTAGTAATATTTAAAATGAAAAAAAAAATTAAAAGAAATAATAAATTGATATTTAAATATGTTAAAATAATTTCTATATTCTTACATATTAAAACTTAAAGAAAAACTATATAATAAGAACATATATATATATAAACTTAACATATTAAAACATATATTAAAACTTAAATAACATATAATAAAAAAAAAAATAATAACATATCATATATATACTTGAATTTCTATCAGAAATTATAAATAGAATTTTATAATTTTATAAACTATAGGCATACATTTAATCTATTTTTCAACATTTACTGATTATACAGTTTGATAAATATTGAGCTATTATATCAAATATAATAAATATTATTGATATTATAGTTTTCAAGATAATTATCTAATGATCACTATAATGATCTAATAAAATTAAAATACACAATCAAATATCACTAAAAATATAAATAGTAATAATGAAAATTAAGTTAAATATGTACATATAGCAAAAATAATATTGTAATATCCTTAAAAATTTTTAATATGATAAACAGGAAATATATTCTATCACACTCATTAAAAAGGAATTTCAGTTACTCATTTATATTACATACATACAATAAAACTTCATATTATTGTTGTAATATCTTACAATATTACCATATTATCAAAGGTTTATATACTGAATATTTTTTATAATTTTCAAAAAATTATTGAATACGTATCTATTACATTAAAAAATCACGTTGCAGGATTAAGAACTTTATCATAATTAATATAACATGAACGTATATAAAGAACTAACTTGTTTAATAACATTAATTATAATTAAAATTAACTCCAAACAATCTTATTTATGATCTTTAGTACATGTTGAGAAAGGTATCACTTGTAAACAGAAAATTTCATTGAATTTTAGGAAAAACAAAATTTTCTAGATTAAATTTTCTGCTTTTATTGCTATCATATGAAATATAATTCTCTATTAACTTTAATTAAAATAAATTTGTTTATTTTTTACGAAATATATAAATAAAAACATAAATTTTTAACAACTCTTTCATCAAAAAATACAAATTCTTTTGTGTGATTTTTTATTTTTCGTAGTGCGACATAATATTTGTTTGTAACTGAATATATTTAATATCGATGAAGATTTATGCACTTACCGCTATCTCCTATTATTAGAAGCTTAAATAAATGGTCATATTCCCGGGCCATTTTGACATGTATGACGTTCAGGTCTATCAAACGTGTCCTCGTGAAAACAATTCGAAATATAGGCGATACATTCACTGTACCGTAAATGGCTTGAATTATCTATGAAAAAATGTGAGAAATGAAATTACTAACTTGATACAAATTGAAATAACGTTTGCGGCTTATTCCAAGTGAAAGACTCCAGTATCAAATAAGCGCCATGTTTATTTGGTGTGATATCACAATTCATTATCACTACCAAGAAAAGATTATATTCGTTAACAATGATAGTTGTTTCACAATAATTCAATAATCAATGTACCTCATTTATTTTAAAGACTAATATTTTTATGCAATGAAGAAAATTTTTATATATTCACCAATAATCGTTCGTTAGTCGTATGAAAGAGAAAAGAGTTTTGAAAAATATTTTTTATCAAAAAGAATGAACAATTACAAAATATTAAATAAATTACGAACCAAAATTTCGCATTGCCATCCAATTAAAGGACAAGTATTTTATTCTATTTTTTTATAAAAAAAAAATAGCAAATGTCGGAACACTATATACGTATGTACGTACATGAACATTATTTATCAATACCAGCACTACATCCTTTACTACTACAAACTCTTCTTACATTAGATTACATTAGATATATATATATATGTATACGTATATTATATATATGTACATATATGTAATACAAGAAACAACTTAATGTATATAATTTAAAATATAAAAATTTACTAGATATTCGTAATGATTCTCTTGCTCCACCTCTCCTACTTCTTTTCCACCTCATTCTCACTTATCCTTCTTTCATTCTCCATTTTTTTTTTTCTTAACCTTAGAACAGTGCTGCAGAGATGCCGGCGACTCCAAAAGGCTATAATATTTAGCAATAACAATTGTGTAGATAAAAATTAATATATCAAACTATTTACTTTATTAATTTACAAAGATTAATTCCGTAGAATAACAATAAAAAGGAAAAGTTTGGAAATATTGCAGTTAGTATTCGCAACCAGTTTTTTTTAAGACAAACTTTTGCTTTTAAGAAAAAATGAGAGATTATTTTGTACAAAACAGATTTATTTATACATGTATATAAAAACAAATTATCGTGGGTTTTTGAAAACTCGTCAATTGCTCTAGTTATTGCAGGTTATCTCAACTATTTTTAATTATTATATAAGTCTTATTTAAAACGTATAAATACTAATTCCTTTTTGAACACACATTAGTGTAAATAATTTTACTGTAAAAAGAAATATAGAAAATAACGTATATTAGATTATGTCATAATTGAAATGAATCAATTCATAAAGGTTAGGTTGCCGTATGGACTACTTAGCAATAAAAGAACAGACACTTCCAAACAAAATGCGTTTGTCTCATTATTATTAAAAGTCTTAATTTGAACCCTATTATTAAAATTGTAAATAATTTCCAGTTATTATGTAGAAGATTTTTGGCAGAAACCAATCGCTGTAAAGTTTTCTGGAAACCGTTCAAATTAATTTCAAATGTGTATGCTGAAACGTATTGTAATGTTTGTAATTGCAATTGTTTTTAACAATTTTTATTAAGCAAGTATGCCTCCATATTTCTAAAATTAAAAAATCTTAATTTTTTTTCGTAGCAATTTGTCAAAAAGTTGACATTTAAAATTATAATTATATGGTGGTGTGACTAACTACAAAAGCATATACATATATGCGTAGTTACTACTCTACTTACTACACATTTGTTTACTATTTAATCTAGTATATAATATATAAGCAGCGTTTAAATAATAAATATTATTTATTCATTATTTTATATAGAAACAATGAAATTTGATAATAATTACAAGTACTTTGGTGAAACGAAATAAAATAATCACAGTTTAAATGATCATTATCGTATTAATTAACACAAACAAATAGTTACTAAGTTAGAAATCTGATGTAAATAAAGTAAGTTCGCAACTTTTTCCTAATATATAGCAACTTCCAAAAAATTCTAAATTTAAAAAGAAGTTAGTTTACTGATTAATGGGTTTTAACCTCTTCTTATTGTAAACAATATTTAATAGAGTATGTATTATCATTTAAATATATGTATTTAAGTATATACAATTGTATTATTAATGCAAGTATAACACAAAATTAAGTACATACATATAATATTAATTTTATATGTGTAGAAATATATAAACTAAGTAACTGTCACTGAAACAATAAAAGTTATGAATTGTTTTGTTTTATTGCAGAATTTTACGAGATTTTTCTGTTTTAAACAATTACAAACAAGAAAATGTCTGGACCTATGGTATTATGTCAATTATGGATGGGTGGTGTAAGTAATACTATTTATTATTTCATGTAAAAATACGGTTTTTATATTCTATATCTGTTTTTTTTTTTTGCAATAAAATTAAGTATATCTTATTTTAGTTAGAACCATATATGACAGAAAGTTTTATAATGAATGCTTTTCATAAAATGGGAGAACAACCACAAACAGTTAAAGTAATGAGAAACCGTTATACTGGTGAACCTGCAGGTTATTGCTTTGTACATTTTCCAACTGATGAAATGGCACTTGATGCTATGCATAAATTAAATGGCAAAGTGATACCTGGTTCAAATCCAGTAAGGATTTAATGAATTCTTCTTGTATTAGATAACATGTGTACCAGTTTGAGCTTTTATTTTTCTACATTTTAGGCTGTAAGATTTCGATTAAATCATGCTAGTACCACAGGAAAACCAACAGCAGAAAGAGAATTTAGTATTTGGGTTGGAGATTTATCAACAGATGTAGATGATTATTCCTTATACAGAGCATTTGCTGCCAAATATAATTCAATTAGAACAGCAAAAGTAATTTTAGACAGTTCTGGATTTAGTAAAGGATATGGTTTTGTCAGATTTGCTAATGAGGAAGAACAGAAAAATAGTTTGGTTACTATGAATGGTTACAGAGGACTAGGAACAAAGTCATTAAAAATTTGCAATGCTGTTCCAAGGCCTTGGAATAAATTATCAGGGTATGTAAATTATATTTTAATTACATATCACAATTATCATAAAATATTAATAAACAATTTTCTGTTTCTCAGATCAACACCTCCACAGTCATCATCAGAATATACACCATCAAATTTAAATTCAGATGCTTATAATTATTATGATACGTCATCTTACTGGAACAGTTATAGTGCATGGCAGCAGGGTTATTATGAAAGTGAGCCTACCTCAGATGGATATAATAGTTATGTATCTGATCAAAAACCAGAAGAAGATGAATTAGAATTAATTGGTATGAAATACATCTTTTATAAATTTAGCAGTTTTATCTTATTAATAAATACTTCATACATCAGCATTATTTTAAATAATATCATTTAGAATGGTTGATAATGTTAATGATTATATTAATAATGATTAATATATCATGTTTGAAGAAATCTAAAGAAGCTAATTTAAATTATAAAAAATTAGTATTAATTTGATGATTTTCAAACAATAATTATAATTTATATTATAAATATATTGAAAATTTTTACTGTAATGCATATACATTATTTTATATTATAAACAAAATTTTTTAAATTATGATTTTTTTTATTTACAGAACATTCTGTTCCTATAGACATTGATAAACTTAATAGAGAAATAATAGAACAAGATTATAACTTGTGGGATGCACTAGAAAGTTCAAAATGGATACCATGTGACACCTTAGAATTATGTTATTAAAATTTATCTAAATTAATTTCCTTTGCTATATCTATGTAATTGTGTATTTTTACTGATGATTCAAATAAATGTATTGATTGTAACAGCATAACAAAATTTATTTCTATTCTATGCAGTTTATTGTTATTATTATTGATCTAACATGCAAATCTTGTATCATAGAATTCAGTGATAAATTCAAAAAGAAAATTATCCAGTAAATTTATATAACTTGAAATATTTAAACTCAATATACATTGGTAAAATTCCGATAAGAATGGATTTCCGATGGAATAACAATCACTATAAAGGTATTTTCTAAGCAAGGAAAATGTACTATTTATTGAGTAATAGAAATTTATTTTTCTAAATTTATTTTCATACATTAATTCTCTAGTTTAAACTAGCATCAATTTTATATAAAACAAATTACATTATAAAGAATTTCTTTAGTCTAATAATAAAATATATAATAATTATTAAAACTATCAAGTGTTTTTTTTATAAATAAACAATATGTTTTAAATATGTACATATTTTTACTAAAAGTACAAATAATATATACAAGAATGTGTAAAAATAAAATCTCAATAATAGATATTTTAAATGAGATATTATAAAGAGGTAAAAATATGAATCTCTCAATTGACGAATGACGTAAATACAAAATTAAGAAAAATGAGTTTGTTGTAGAAATAGTTAGTATTAAGAATACTTCCTTTATTTATTAATTGAATTTGCGTATATTTTTTTATATTAATAAAAAATAAGAGTCAATTTTTACATCGTAAGTAAATGATTGATTACTCATTACATTATTATTTCACTATCGAAAAAAATATAATTTTTCTTCTAAGTGATGTTATCATTGTTATTTAGTAACTTTACTTCCTTACAATAAAGTTACTTTCTGTTCTCAATTTATTATTACATGAAAAAGTCCAATTCTCAGAATGTTAAAAAAAAGGAACTCAATTTGCTAATCAACTAAGAGGCTCATATTGTATATTAAATTAATTTTAAATAACATAAAGATACTTGCACATTAAATTAAATTAGTTAACAAAAAAATTTTATGTAAATTATATACATTTTTTTTTGAAACTAATTAAACACGTGATAATTTAATAATTACAATTACTAAGAGTTCTATTAATATATCCTCGAAATTTTAAGAGTGAACGTCCGAACTTACCATATAAACTTGTAAAACACTTTTACCAGGTTCGTCTAAAGATTCTTTTGACAAAATAACGAATGACCCTGGTTCTACGTCATTAATATTTGGTATAACTGTTTTAGGATCTATATGATGAATTTCTGAATTAATACTATCAAAAATTAAATCTTCAGTAACTTTTTCAGTAACATTATTTTCTGATGACATTGTAAGTTCATCATCATTAGAACAATAATTTAATCTTTCATTATCAAGTGTATTTATATCAGGCCCCTGCAATTTTTTTATTTTTGGTAATCTCCCTGATCTTGTTGGTCTTACATAATAAACTTCTGTATCACTGTCAACATCATTGTATGATTCTACATCATCTGTCAATATTTTTTTTTCAATTCTTGGTCTTTTATTTGTTTTATTTAATGCTTGTTCATATTTGTCGTTTGAGTGTGTATTTTCTTTATATACCGTCGAATCTAAGTCATTCGGTATATAACATTCTTTTTTTTCTTCCTTTTCTTCTTCATCGTCTTCTTCTTCTTTTCCTCCCTCTTCGCTATCAGTTTCACTGTACATTCCAATACTACGTGCTAGTTCTAATAATGAAGTGAGAAATTAATATTTGAAATTTTTTGTTAAATATATATAATTTCAACAAAATATTTGAAAAAATATAATGAAAATGTAGTATTTATAGTTATTTTCAACTTACTGCTTCGTCGTTTTCTTGACTTTTTATTCTTAGTTTTTGTCTTTTGTTGTTTTCGTGTTTCTTTTATGCGTAAAAGTTCTTTTTCTGCAGCTGTTAATAAAAAATTAAGATTATAATATTAATCAATAATAAAAACGATAAAATTAAGAAAGATGTAGTATAACTTTTATCATTAGAATTCTAACTTAATTAATCACTATTAAATTTTAAATGATAATGACAATAAGTAACTTTTATATTTTTACAATTTAATTATTTTATATAATACTTTTTATAAAATATTTTGTATGAACATGAATCGACAATTATTTTAGAAATAAATACGTAATAGACAAATTTACCTAATGACTTTTCTAACATTTCAGTATCAAATTCTTGATGATATGCTAAAGCTTTTTCAACCAAATGTCTGTTTACTTTTTCTTCTTTCTTAAATTTTAACTTCATTTCTTGTCTCGTTCTATTAGGAAAAAGACTTTGCATCAACAAAAAATCTGTACCAATTGTATTTAGTGCTTTATAGAAATTCAAAGTTTCTCGCGAAGACCATTCTTTACTTTTTTGACGCTTTTTATAAAATCCACTTCCATTGTTATCATCATCAATAATAGCTTCTTTTGCTAATACTTTTCTATTTCTCTTCGCATTAGTTTGTTCAATAACAAGACTCTGTTCATCTATTATTAATTGACCATTTGGTCCAACTTTTACTTGAGGTACAGGCATTGTAGATGATGGATCATCTTCCTCTTCTTCTTCTTCCTGAACTTCTTCAGATCTGCAAAGATGATTATTTATTTTATGTTTTAATTTACAGATCGTTTTGACAGAATTGCTTTTGAATTATACAAAATTAATATATTCAAAATAATTATTTAATATACTTACTGACATTCTATTATTTTTCTTGGTATTGCAGACTCTTTAGACTTTTTCATAGGATTAGTAACAGGATTATAATATATTAAGTCATACATTGTGAGTTTGCTTCTATCTGGAGTTTTATTTTCATGTTTTAAATGAAATTCTCTTCTAGCTTCTGCTAATTTTCTTGCAGATTCTGAAACTAAAATACGTCTTTTCTGTCCTACTTTGGATGTTATTAAATTATTCTTGATGTTATTAGTAACAGTATCTTTTGTATTGTGTGTGGATTGCACTAGATCATTTTTTGTATGATTGGCGATAGCGCATGGCAGTTTTTTACTATCATCTTCAGATTCACTTGTACTTGCTCCACTTCCTTGAATACTGTTTTTTCTTACTCTGTTATTATTGTCAAGTTTTGGTATCGGTTTCATAAAACTAGATCGATTTTGCGATTTTATAGGAAAATCTGAAATAATATAAAATATAGTAATAATTCTTCACCTAACAATATTTCTAAATAATTCTTTATGAATGTTCCTAAATAAATAATTCAACTTTTATAAATATTTGCAACATTCATTATCTTTATAGGATAATACAAAAATGATCTTGTGTAAAAATTTCAACAAATACAAATCTAAAAATTTGTAACAATACAAAATAGAAGTCTATATAATTACATATTATATTCATTTATACTTAAATACAATTATTTAATATTTTTATAACATTTTACTTATCACATTCTCATTATACTTACTAATTTGCGTTGCATTTAAAATTTCTGGTGATTGTATAATTTCTTTTGTTGATTTCTCAGAATTTTTTGTAGAGTCATCCTTATTTTCATTACATTGATCATCAACATGTAATTTTTCATTTTGTATTTGTTCTTCTACCTCTTGGACTTCTATTAATTTTTGTGTATTATCTAAATTTTCTTGTATCTGCACATCTTCAGAAACATTTTCTAAAGTTTGTTGTGACGTTATACAAGTACCATCAGATGTATCTTTATTTTTCTCATTGTGCTCAACTGAATTAGTAACTCCAGTAATAGATATATCTTGTGTTGGTTTTCTTCTGGTTGGAACAGTAACCATAGCTTTTATACGTGCTCGCTTCATTTTCTTAAATTTATTAATCTATTAAAATCTCTGTAACATAATTTAGTAACATAATTAGAATATAATTATTTATCTTATATAATATGTTAACATCCTTAAATTATAATGTATTATATTATAATTACAACTATAAATTGTAATTAATTTATGTATTAATATTTTTAATGCAATTCTTCTACACAAGGTGTCTCGATGTATGTAAAAAGTACAGCAAGAATGATTTTAACACATTAAAATAGAGAAAAAAGTTCATATAAACATATGAATTAATATGACCTTGTTTTCAAATTAATTTTAAAATTTCTCATTTTTAATGAAATTTTAAAATTAAAAGCATTTTATTTTGTTTATATCTAAAAACAGTGTAAGCATAATGACAGTGAGAACAAATATATATGTAATAAAATATGAAAGTTTAATAGTCAAATCTATCTATTTTCATATTGTATTTTTTAAATCCATAAAGAATATTTTTGTTACAATCTAGCACAGTAAAAAATTAAATTTTATACGTTTATTTGAATTCTCATTATTTTGTAATATAAGGTTATGTATGTACTTGCCAATGCAGGATGATCCTCTCAATAGTACCACTAAAAGCAAACGATGAAGTACAGAACAGATTTGATGGAATTATTTCTTTTTTTATAACTAGTGATTAAATGAATTATAAAATTATTTTTGATTAATGTTAATATATTATGTATACTGATATAATATTTTTATTTCTTTCATTATTTCTATAATCTCTTCATGCATGGTTGTCATGTAGTAAACGTCACATGCTTTGATACAATTTCTTCTTATTGTCAGTAAAAGCTAATGAAATTATTATAGAAAAAATAATTAATGTATAATAATTGTGAAAGAAAAATTTTATTAATAATAAAAGCAAATTAAGATAATTACGTGTAAAATTCGTAATTAGCCATTAATAAATAAAATTAGAAATTTATTAGTTTTTTGATAAAATGTTAAGTTTTAAATATAGTTGTAAATTTTATGTAATTTATTATCAATAAAATTCTTAGATAATATTAAATACATACTATTATTTATCTACATACTAATGTCATTTACATATGTATGCACCTATTCATTTTGTAGAAACAAATTAAATCATACGCGTGATAATTTCATCTAATACCCGCTGTATTTCACTTAATTTGAAAATTATTTCTAATACTATCGAAGATAAAAAATAATTAATAAAAAGAGTTTACATGTGTATATAATTCTTACACTAACGATTCTCTTAAAGATTATTCCGAAATTATTGACATCTTTTTTCTGTATTGAAATTTATTTTTTACAATCTAATGTAATCACAAATTCAATAACAACGAATTTAACAACCAATAAAATAGTATTAACGTCTGGTTATTACTCAATTTTTGATTAGAATTAATTGCAATAAATTTAATTATGAATTGTAGGAAACCGTCAAATTTTTAATGATATTAAAATATTTATTTCATATTGGTTTTATTTCACATTTAACAATTGATAAATCTATGATATATGCGCGTGTGTATAGATGCATAAGTGTTATACTTTCGTAGATATGGTAACGATATTGATTTTTAAAATAATTCAATTCATACACTATATTATTATATTTTTAGTAAAAATGTGGCAAGATAATGAAGTTCGTTTCGATGTTTCTTACACGTAATTTCTTTTATATTTTGGAGTATAATTGTTTCAGATACATTTTTTTATTTTATTAAATTTTTTATACTATGTATATTAATAGAAATTTAGTATTACATATATAATTATTAAAATTTAAATCAGGATGAAGGTTTATTAAGAATAGGTGTATAATTAAGGTATATTATGAATAGGTGTACATTTAAAATAAATGGCATTATGTAAATAAATATTTTATCTAAAACAATCAACTCTCTGTATTTTATGTATAAAGTTACATATAATTCACTATTCACAACTCTTAAATTTCTAATAGTCACATGCAGCTACGATTAGGAGAATTTACAGTTGACAGACTTGATTTAATAGAAGATACAAAGGGAAATGCAGGTGATATTGGGAGACTTATAGTAACTAATCTCAGAATTATATGGCATTCTTCGCTTCTTCCCAGAATTAATCTAAGTATGGATTAAATATAAAAGTAATTTAATATTGTTTTTATAATCACTTTTACAATTACATACTTTTGAAACACATGAATAATTACTAGTATTAAATAAAATTCTTGAAATATTTGTAATAATTAATGTCAAATTTTATGATTTATTAGTACTATTTAAAATATATACGTGTAATTTATCTTGTACATATATGATATAATTATGATAAAGATCATAAATTTTATATAAACATATATGTTTTTCCATAGGTATTGGCTATAATACCTTCATAACAGTAAATACTAAAACTATACATAGTGTTAGTATATTTTTTTAAATTTACAATTTTTCATTTGTATTTTGCAAATAATGGAATATTATTTTTTTTAGTTACAAGGAAAGCATGTACAAGCATTACATATTTTAGCTTCCTTTCGACATTGCAGATATGAATTTCTATTTACAAATCAAGATTTAAAAAGTACAAGACATTATACATCTGTTATTGGTGTTTACAGGTATACTTTTTGAATGTAAAATTTGTATTATTTGTTATATTATTATAAAACATAATAGAAATAATAGAAATATTTTCTAAAAAAAGATAAAATAAATATAACTTAAGAAATATATTACACTACATTAAAATTTGATGTAGTATTAAATAATCTTTTAAATATTACAGAGCATACATTTCATCAAAAATTTATCGAGAAATTAAATTGAGAAGTGGAATAATTAATGATAAACAATTAACGTTATTACCACAAGAAATAGTTCATTCAACATTGCAAGATATTTGGAATTTATCATTAGAGCAGGTTGAATTATTATTTGTAGAAATTTGTTATTTTATAAAATGTGTTATTAAAATTTATTTTATTAGGGGAATATTGGAACTTTTATTATAACAAATATACGTTTAGTTTGGTTTGCTGATATGAATTATCAATTCAACATATCAATTCCTTATCTTATAATAGAAAATGTAAGTATATATATTGTATAAGTATACTCCATATATAAGAAATACATTAAAAGTTTTTAAGAATATAATAAAGAAGCATCTCTCTTTTTTTTAAGTAGATTACTATTAAAAATTCAAAATTTGGTCCAACTTTAGTCATTACTAGTTCAGAATCCAGTGGAGGATATATATTAGGATTTCAAGTTAATCCTAGTCAAAAACTTCATACTATTTACAAAGAAATTTTAATGTTATTAAAAGCATCTGAAAAATCTCCTATTTTTGGTGTTGATTACACGTTTGAACATCAGGTAATATTATATTAATGTAATTCTTAACAAATTTTATTGAATAAATAAATGTTATTATTGAATAAATAAATGTTATTATTAATTAAACATCACTTATTACAGGCTCCGTTACAACAATTAAATGTAGAACAACATTCTGAGATACAAGACAATCAACCAGAAATTTCAAATGTGTTTGGCTATTATTTCTCTGAAAGTTCAAATCAAAGAAAACCTAGTTTTTCGATTTATTTAGGTCTTGCAGCAGAAGAACCTCGAGAAACTAGTACACTACAAAGTTTATGGGAACTCGTGCCTCAAACTTAACTGATAAAATCAATAAACTTTAAATATTACATAAATAGCATTATTTGTAAAATTTAAAAAATAATTAATGCTAATACATCGCATATATCGTTGTACATCACATAAGCTTTTAACATAAAATAAATATAAAAATTATTTAAAATCAATATAAAAAGAATTACTACAGTAACATATATTATTTTACACTTTTTTTTGACTTTCGTCATTTAATATATAGCAGGTAAATTTATAAGAATAACAGAAATGTATACAAATATTATCTGTGTGAAATACAATCAAAATTTTAACACAACCATTGTTTTTAATGCTGTCTCCTTACGTGTTTTTTATTACATATAAAAAAATTTAATGATAAGAATTTTATAACTATTTAATACAATTATTTTTTTCTCTTTTCAAAATTTATATTTTTAACACTTTACCAAATATTTTTAAATAGTTTATTTATGGAAAAGTCAACGTCTATAAGGAATTGATAAAAAAATAGATAATTGGAATTAAAGCATTAGTATTCTACAATATAACACTGAATAAGTCTTTAATTATTTAATTGCAATTTCATACCACTTTTTAGATTCTGTCTTTAAATTTAACTTGGTCTACAATTTAATGGTTGCACAATTGATTGATCTTGATTATCATCACCATCTTCATTTAGTTCAGCCTGCTGAACAGGAAATCTATATCCCATATTCATAAGCATTACTTCAAATGGATCGCTTTTCATGCGTATTTGATTTGCAGATGCAGCATCTTCTAAGTTTTGAATTTCTCTTTCATTTACGCTACCATCCTACATCAAATAAATTTCCATATAATTTTTAAAATTAATGAAGTATCTTATAAATATCAATTCTTATTCAACTTTTTAAGTACAACAGATTTTGATAAATAATTGGTAATGCTGACCTCAGGTAAAGGACTCCATAATCTAACTACTGGATCAATACCGCTAGTAGCTAGCAAACATGTGGATGGATGAGGTTGAAGACAATTTACAATACGTTCATCTCCTCTTAATACACGCATAATATTTGTGGTATTACGATCCCAAATAAAAAAGGAACCATCATCTGATCCTGCCACAATATATTGACCATTGCTTAAAGCAAAAATTAATTAAAAATACATTATTAGTTAATAAATTTGCAAACTTATTGATAAATTATTTTTGAAAGGTACATACTTTCCAAAAAAATTAGCTTCCTTTATATCAGTTGTAGTATTACAATGCCCACAAAATCTCATTTTATAATCAATTGTATTGCGTCGCCATTCTTGTTCATATTCTGATATTTGAATCATTAGTTGATTCATGTCAATATCTCTACCTGATTGTATAGTGAATACATTATTAAAGAATATTGATTAAAAAGATATTTTGTAAGAATATTTTTTTAATTTTATGTGTAGATATGTATTTGTATATACATTATATCAACTTTAATGGACTGAAGAAAGACATACCAGAATCTATAGCTTCTTTTATATCCATTTTTAATGCTTTACAGGCTGAGTTAGATGCATATTCAGGAAATTTTTGTTGAAAGTCTTTAATTATTTTATCAGCTTCAACTGACTGATGTAAATCAAAGAGACAACGAGCCAATCTATACACACACATATATATATATATATATATACTTAAAATACTAAATACATTATCATAGGATTTACAAATTGTTACCTAAAATGAGCTTTTACATGTTCGGGATCGAGAAATAATGTTGTTTGACAATCTTTAAGAGCAGCATATATGTCACCATCCCTACAAATCATGCAAAATTATACTATATTCAAGATCTATATTCAGAAGAATAAAAAAGATTATCATAATTTTTTAATTTAAAAAATTATATATTCCAAAAATTATATTTTTTCGGTTTCTTATTTACATTATTCTTTAAATTTTTTATAGTATTGCAAAGTTTAAAATATAATAGTGAACAGATCATACCAAGTTCGTTTCATATATGCTGCAGCTCTGTTAGCAAAAAGTACAGCTGCAGTGGGGCAATAACTGATTGCTTTATTATATAAATTAATTGCCAATGTATATTTTTGTTGTTCAAAGCTTTCGTTAGCCTAAAATAAAAGGACAATAAGAAAAAAACAAAGAAATTTAATTATTTTTGACTTTTACACAGCATAAACTTACTTGTCGCTTTAATTCTTCAACATGTGGTGGTAAAATTTTAATATTTTTGCTAGTAAAATCTGTAATATCTTCATTACTTTCCATATTGTACTTGTCAAAATCTCCTGCTTGCAGATATTTAATAAATTTAAACATATTACATATGTTACATATAAAATTGAAATATGACAATTTATTTAATTTATGATTGACAATACAAGATATAGAACATTGTAATAATTACAAACATTACCCAAGTACATATTTGAAGAGTAACCAAAACAAGTCTTCATGTTTTTTGGATTATTGATATCAAATAAATATATTTGTTCACCGCCCATGTTAACAAGGAGTTCATTTCCATCAGCACTGAAGGTTAAATATGTAGTAGTGAGACTTCTATTACTGTCACGTTGCCGAGAATGCAGATGGCCTGCTCAATATCAAACATTAATAGTTTTTGTTAGAGTGATCATATAATATACAATAAAAGAGGAATATAAGGGTAAAGGAGTCGCGTACGCTATTTCTGATCGTACGAACGAACCCGCGATAAAGTACTGTGCGCAACCCAGTGGTATATTCTCATCTGGATCACCTCCACCAGCTAGACGTATACATACATTTCCTCTTGTCCAGTTACTATGTGGAGACGAAATAGGCACCTATTCGAAAAGAAAAAGAAAAAGGAAAAAATGGTTTAAGAATTTCTTATGAATAGTTTTTGTTCCATAATTACCTGAGAAAGCTTAATCATTCTACGATCATACATTCGTATATAAGCATCATTAGCTCCAATGGCTATTAGTTCGGGTTTTTTTGGATTCACAGTAATACACTTGCCCTCTGCATATCGACCAGCATGATTAACAAGATTTACTAACACACTATTACAGTCATTGCTTTTGCAACTATGAGGAGCGCGAATATCATATTGTAAAATAAGACCATCTTCCGCAGCACTCCAAAAAAGAAAAGGTACAGTAGTTGCAGTAGCAATACGTTTTACACGACCTATATGACAATTACACGAAAATATTGGTTCAAGAAGCGTTAGGTCACGAACCCGTACTTTTCCATCTCCAGCACCTGATACCAATATCCTGTCATTTGATTTTGGCAAAAACTATAGAAAAGAAAGATTCTTAATTTCTATCAAAAATTCTGAGGATTTTAATTTATAGAAATTAATAATTTTTTAAGCTAAAATTTCACTAAGAAAATTATATATTTAATATTTATTAAGGTTACCTTAACAGAAAATATATTTCCATGATGACGTGTACGAAGTATTAATTTCTTTTCATAACGAAATGGATCCCATAAAATAATATTCATATCATCAGATGCCGATGCAAGGATTCTAAAAATATATGTTAATATATGTACATTAATCTATAATTAATTCTTTTTATTGTATACAAAGATATTTTACATACATTGTCAATATTTTTGTAATGTATGTTAAATATTCCCTATTTAATAAATACTTACTGTCCGCTTTCATTCCATTCCAAGCAATTAACGCATCCTGTATGGCCAATTAATTCTTTTTCAAGTCCTAATCGGGATATCAAATTTTCTGTCACATGTAACTTCTGAGAAACTGCATATGCCACGGAATCCTAAATAAAATAATTCAAAAAAAATTAAATAATGCAATTTATACTAGAATATAAAGATGTCATGAGAAATTATTACATTTGTTCATGAATTGTATATTATATTAGAAAATATTAAATATATACGTGATATATTTACTAATAAGTAAATAAATAAATATATGTAAGCCTAATTTTGTATTAACGTACCCGTATCTCACGTTGACGTACCAAATCCAAAACTCTGTAATCTTTATCATGTATGTTAGGAAGCATTTCTATGTTTATTTCATATAATCACTTATTGTATTAAAAAAATTAAATATCCTCTGAAAATCATAAGAAAATTTATCGTCATTTTTATTTAATATATGAGCACTTGCACTTTTTTAATACAGAATGTAAATGTAATTATTGTGTAAAATATAACCCCTTGTCTAGAAGTGCTATTGCATTGAAAGTGTAAAAAATAGTTTCACCAAAACTGGACAAGAATACTTAACTTAAAATTAATGTGATAAGACAAGGTATAGAATGGTTAATAAGTCGTTATTTGTTTATACATCATCAAAGTATTATTGAAAACGTTTTCGCACTACTGTCCTTTAGCACAATACCATGAACTTAACATAACTTTTGTACTTTATCACATTCTATCGTATACAGTTGGTATTGGTACATATACATATATATATTCACATACGTGATATATATATATATATATATATATATGTATACACAAAATATATATATATATATATCTTATCTATATACAGTGAATGTCCGTAAAACACGAAGGAGATATGTACGCGTTATACCAATGTGTCCATGATATTTTGTGTACGAACAATGTCTTTCGACATTACTTAAAAAGCACTTTATTTTTATTTTTTAAATTATATTGTAATAGTAACTTTTTTCAAATCGCATTATACGGGTTTTCACACTATATATTTGTATGTCATATTTAGTGAAAGAATTTTTCAATTATTTTTTATAATTTTTTATAATTTTTAGCATAATGTTATCTCTTGTTAGCAGTTTCATTTTTATCATGTTCATGTATGGTCACTTGGCTTGCACAGATTTGATATCTGCAATAACTAAATTGATCTCTAGGACAATAATAAATTTTCCTTACTTTATTATTTATGTAAAATCGTAGCTATATTATTTATTTGTAAATTCTTCTATCTTGAAAGTACATCATATTTTTAACTTTACAAAGTTTTGTTTAAAAAATAAAAATAAAATAAATACATTACTTTGTATTTTATAAAATGTAAATCATTTATTTTAATTAGGAGAAATTAAGAAAAATGATTTCGCCATTTGCCGCAATTATTTAAAAGCATCTGCATACATATATATAATAGAATTACTATATATATATATATATATATACTAAATATGATATTACTATATATATATGTATACATAAATATGATATTACTATATATGAATATATATATATATATATGTGGATATAAAATATAAATATAAAAAATAATTCTAATCCTAATAAATAGGTCCGTCGTCTAAATTGTCATCTTCATCATCATAACCTTCTCCATTATCGAAATAATTATTCGCATAATCAGTCCCCTCATCCATTTCCTCATCTAATTCTTCTTCCTCTTCCTCTACTTGTTCATCATCCTTCTCTTCTGTTTCTTCCTCCTCTTTTTCCTCTTCTTCTACATCACTTTGTTGAGAATTCTCCTTTTTTTCTAATTCTTGTAATTTTAATTCTACATCAATATTCTTTTGCTTTTTCTTTGGACTCTCCAATGTTTGTTCTTTACGCTTTCGCAATTGAGGCTTTAATTCTACAGGCATTTTATTCCAATCGTATCTAATCTCATAACTACTTTTATCAGTAATTAGATCTTGGTACCGATCTGAATACCTCTCAATATCTTTTTTAACTACAACAGGCAAGACATTGTTAGGAGATTCTCTCATATATTCTGCATATCCTTTCTTTAATTCAAACAAATAACTCAATTCTGTAGTAATATTCAAGGGCAACGGTTTATATTCCAAAAGAGGATATTTTAATGGAGGCTGTAAGACTGGTGGTGGTAATGTTTCACCTTTAGCAAAGCCTAACTGTTCTGTGCTGATTGACATGGAAGGTTTACCTCTTCCCCTACCACGTCCAGCCATAATGGTATTATATATTTGTCTTTCTATAATTAATAAAATAGAAAATTAAAGGAAATAATTGTAAATGTACTGACGATTAAAAGTATATTCTTCATTATTTTGTCATTTTTTGGTTTAAATGCGTCATCAATACTTTGGAAAATATTTTAAATTTTTTGGAACATAAGTAGTTTTTTTAATTTAACAATCAAAAGAAAAAAAGAATATATGATCTGTTCAAGTTCAAAGACTTCAGCAGTTAATTCTGTGTTAATTTTCCCTTATATATTTGCAATTGATCCCTGAAAAATTAATACAATGAATAGTAATATACTTTTTTGTTGCACTCAGACTTTAATTTTAGTATGATATATAGATACAATCTCAATAATAGTCAGATTTTTTAAAGCTCAATCTCAAGTACAGCATACTAAATAAATAAAATACATTATAAATACATCAACACTAGTGACTTCTATATTGTACTTTTGAATAAAAATAAATTATTTTCTACAAGTAAACTATTTATCTTGCAACAGCTGAATTTCGTTTTGAACACGCCGAATTTATAACTTGTTTTATATTATCTGATATTTTTTAACAAAAAGAACTTACGTAGAATCCAAAGATACTAATTTTAAGGCGTGAAGACTGTTTGTCATAAGGCAAATGATTGTATGTCATACACCCATTAGATACCGGTGACAACAAATGCATGTGGGCAATCAATTCAATTCGGAATGATATATTCGTAAAATAATAAATCATAGTACCACAGACAAGGTACAGAATAGATCTAGCACTCAATGCATTTTTGTATTACAACCAACGAGAGCTCTGAAGCTTTCTTTCTTACCATTTTAGTGTTATTTTCAGTATTACCGATGTAACATAAAATAAAATTAAAGCATTTGAAGTAAAGACACAACAAGTATTATTTATTTAATTTATAACTCAGCAATATATTTCGCTGAGGGCATGCTTTTCTGGACTGATTTTAAATTGAAATTCAAATATATTTGCCGCTGTGTTTTCTTTCCTATTTTCTTGTTGTCGATGTCGCCACTGTTCCGCATAGTTAGTGAAAAAATTCACGCGCATGCGCTGCTACAAACCGGTAGCCACTAACGCCAACATCCGTTAATGTGAGAATTGCGCTACTCTACAAATGTTATAACGCTGACATCTTTCGTCACCAGCGTGGGGATTGTCAAAACGATTAGTACGACATTTTTACCCGGAAAGGAAAGTTAATCAAAATGTTGATATTATTTGAAACTCCTGCGGGGTATGCGATTTTCAAGGTAAATTATATTAAAAACTACAACTTGCTATTTAACCTAAAAAATGCACGTGTTCCTATCAATAACTATAGTTATATTTGTTCAGTTTAAGTACATTGTTACAATTTAAATGAAGTAACAATGCCTATTCGTTTATATATCGTATCATAATTATATTTGTTTCTTACAGTTACTTGATGAAAATAAATTAACGCAAATTGAAAATCTTTATCATGATTTTGAAACACCTGAAGCAGCTTGTAAAGTGTAAGTTAATCTTGATTTTTAGTATTTAATTTTGTCGTAATCATAATGGATTATATCATTTAAAAATACGTAAATATTTACAATTGCTCTAAAGTTTATAATTCAATAAATTCAACAGTGTAAGATATATTAATAACAATATATATCTTCGTATTAATTTTAATATATATAATATTATAATTTGAAAATCACTTATAAAATGTTACATTATTGCCTTTGATGTTACAGAGTAAAGTTGATGCATTTTGAAAAGTTTGTAGACACTGCAGAGGCTCTTGCAGCTACAACAGCTGCGGTAGAAGGAAAACTATATAAATCATTAAAAAAAGTAATTAAAAGACATTGTACAAAACTTCAGGAACAACTAGCTGTAGCTGATGTTAAGCTGAGTAATGCTATAAAGGATAAACTGAGTTTATCTTGTGTTAGCAACACAGCTATACAAGAATTAATGAGATGCATGAAAAGTCAGATGGATAGTTTATTGGTTGGCTTACCAAAGAAAGAAAGAACAGCAATGGCATTGGGCCTAGCGCACAGCCTGTCCAGATATAAATTAAAGTTTTCTCCTGACAAAATTGATATAATGGTAATACAA